TCTCTACTAGCTGTTAGTTTGGACATGTTTACACGGCTAACAATACTTACCATAAGCTCTGGATACGTTGGCCGTTCTTTGGAATTCTTCTTTAAGCTTAAAGAAAAAAAAAATTAATTACATTAAAATCTAGAAACCACCTTTATTTTTACTAGACAAGGATTTCAGAACAGGTAAAAAATTAAACATAGCCAGCTTTTAAAAAAATGTATTGAAAACACTGATCTATGTTGACTTTCCTCTTCTGTTACACTTATAAATTATGTTTTGAATTACTCTGGGTGTAACTTATGGGGAAGAATGGGGGTGTGTTTGTGTGTGTGTGTGTGTGTGTGTGTGTGTGTGTGTGTGTGTGTGTAGGAGGCAGGAGTGGTTCCTTTTGATCAGTTACCAATGACATATAATCTAGCTTTTCTGGTCTACAGCCATTATATTTCAAAATACATATCTACTTTCCTTCAAAACAATTTTCATTCCACACCCACTAGCAAAGAAATTGGCAGGTGTTTCTTATGTTACATTTGTTATCTCTTCACTATCTTCAATACGTGGTTCTCCTTGCTTCTGGCTCCCTTGAACATATAATTTGCTTTTATATATACCTCACCAAACCTGCCTGAGATAGAAGCAATACACCCATAAAATGCCCAAGGTAACACTACTGGTTTGCGACCTCTTAGCTTTCTCTGAAAGAGAACGCACACTCATCCAGTGACTTGGCAATTCGTGGTCATGCACTACACTGTCAGGTGGCTCCCAGCCATTCAGCTGTCTATATACACAGACATTTTAACATCTGATATCGGAAACAGTGATACAACTGCAATATGAAGAGATCAACCCCTCAACCCACCCCTGTATCTGCCCCTAGCCTTCAAGTGGGAGGAAAAAAAAAAAAAAGCAGTTTATTTGGACCTGGAATCCCAGGTTACAGAATAAACAAAAGGATACTTTCGAAAACTATGATTTGCAAGGCAATCTACAGACTCCCCCGCCCACTGGATCACAAAATAATACATGAATGGAAAGGAACTTTGCCTGGCGCTGAAGGAAGCAAAACGTGACTGATTAGTACACTGCTGGAGTTTGTATTAATGGATCATTTTGAACAAATGAGACCTAGTACGTGTGACATGAGCTCTGCTTAACCACATAGCCTAACAGAAATGAGGGGGATGGGGGCATGGTGGAGAACCATAAGAGAGTGAAGTAATTGAGACGCTTTGAGAAAACTGTGGTTTAAAACAAAACAAAATGAAAAAAAAAAAGGAACCTTTTGAACCAAAACAACTTAAAGCAGCCTACCAGTTTATTCCAGGCAACTCTTTAGGTAGAAGCCAGGGAACCTGAGACAGGGGACAGGTAGATATGAGGAGAGAAGTTTCAACCTGGAACTGAGGGCAGATCTAGGATCTAGTGACCTCAGTGTGACCAGACAACCTATGAGAGAAAGTTCCTTCTCAACTGAGGATGAAAATAAGAGCGAATTAGCGAGAGGAATCATCAACTGTTCAAGTTGAATTGCTATGGGAAGGCGTGCCTGAGTGACCTGAATGAGGCTTTGTCACTCCCTGTTATGACTCTGCATGTCCCTGCACCCTGAGATTCTATAGGGCTCTACTGGTGATTCCCAAGCGCGGGTGATTTTCCCCTCCAGGGGCCACTTGGCAATGTTGTGGTACTGGCACCTACAGGTAGAGACCAGGGGTGCTGCTATACATCCTACAATGCACAGGACAGTTCCCACAACCGAGAATGATCCAGTCAAAAATGTCACTGGTGCCAGCCTTGAGACACCCAGGCCGTGTGCACTACTAGAGTGTTCCTCCTCGTTGCTACCTTCTACCCCCTTCTCTGAAACGAAATTCACTTAGAAGCCTCTCCAGCTGACTGTTCTTTCATTTGGGCACATTCTCACCACTACTGCCTTCTCTCCTCCACCCCGGGCAGCAAAAGTTCTTCCAAGGGCTACTTCACAGAGAAAGAAACACAGCAGAAGAAATGTAATCCCAGCACTGTTGCCGATTTGCACCCCCGTAAAACAAACAAACAAACAAACAAAAAAACAGGCTGATGTGTAAAAACCCTGAATTTCCAGCTATTGTTCGAAGCAAATAAAAGACCAGAATGTCTTCTCTGTAATCTGAACAATTTAACTTGCTAAAATCAGTGATGAAAAGCACAAATGCAACATTAAATCCACGCTCGGTATTGATGTGTTTGGTTTCAGGCGTCTATTTAGACACGAGTCAGTCATCAGACCCTAACTCTGCGTTGACTCTGAAATACTCTCCTTGAGGACAAGGATCCACCGAATGATAGGAAGAAAAGTTTCTTTCTCAAATGGAAAAACAACGGTCTATTTTACCAACCAAAGATCTTTGTCATGATGCTGATTTTGACCTTCTAATTAGAAGATAATGAAATAATAATCTCTGTTTTCCTCAGGTAGAAGAACTGAAAACGTCCTTTATTTTTTTTTTTAAGAAGAGATCATTTCAAGTCAAGGTTGTCTTATCTTTTCACTTCTGGGAGAGTTTAAGAAAATTTCTCCTATATTTTTTCTTTCATCTGTATAAAGAAAATGTGAGGAAAGTACCCTAAATCGATCCGTCAGAAAGCGTTAAGGATCTCTGAAATCTGAGAGACCGCTGACCAGTAAGTAGGCTATTTCTTGACTGATGGCCCCTGGTTAGAAAGCTCAGACTTGACTACAAGCACCACTGCAGAGTGTTGATGGAAAATATACAGCAAACCAAGGCTGTTTACCGAATTAACATAACAGATAGAACCCATTTGCTCTATCTTTTAAATTGAGAACACTTCAGAAGGCAAGCTAAGAATAGCAAAATGCTCAGGATAAAGTTAGGGGAAAAAGCAAATTTTCCATGTTTAATAAGAAGTGCTTACAATTCAGTATGGAATAACAACTGCGGAGTTCAAAGCTATACCAATTTCTTTTTGGATTTGAGTCAGACTTTTGAATTTTCAAGTGGCTTGTCATTTTCAAGCGTGCAATTAGCTAACTGCCCTAATTCCTCTTCCAAATGCCACAACACACGCTCCTGACCGTAGCTGACACTAAAAAACAGCTTCATGTTGTCTTGAGAATTGCTAGCTTGAAGTTTGTGCTGACCAGAGGATTTCTGTCTATTTGAATTCTCCCTGATCGTTTCCAAGAAGGGCTATGTGCTGCATCCACAAAATAAAAACACACTGTGCCTCTCAAGCCTTATATTTGTCACAAGTTAAATAAATACCCAGAGTCTCTTTTTACTGTCCTTCCTGAACAAGTTGGGAACTATATTTGATTGTCTGTTTTATACTAGTTCCTCTGAGTCATACAGTATCAGTGTCTGGGCGGACCTCTGACACTCCAACATGCCATACAGCTGGTCAGTGGAGCACCAAGCCTCTTAAATCGTCTGAAGGGAAAGCAAAAAGGAAGTCAAGCTGTTCTGGCACTCGGTTGTTGGTTTCCAGTGACTTCCTTCGAGTCCCCAAGCCTGTGAACCTATAGGAAGAGGTTGTGGTGACAACTGTAAGCTGTTGTCTTGAGAAACTCATTCGTTGAGCCTTCTGCAGGATTAGACTATACAGCATTTTGACTGACTTCTCTATTATGAAACCCAAAACAAGGCTTCTGTGTTTGGCAGTACTCACCCCAGGAGCTCTTTAAAACCCCTCTGATTTAAAAAAAAAAAAAAAAAAAAAAAAAAAAAAAAAAAGTCCATGTGTGAGGAAAAAAAGAAGAAAATATCGGTCATATCCTATTTCAAAATAAGTTCACATGGGAAGGGTTTGTAAGAAATCATTGTGTTTTTCTTCAAGTTCATAAGGAATAAGTACTTTAACCTTTTCTTTTCTCCACGCCTCCCCTCAAGATAATGTTTCTCTGATGCTCATTGCAAAAGAAATAGATCAGCTGGACCTCTGGGCTCTCTGTCTAACTTTGGGTGTGACAGGAATAGCCTGTGTTTCTGTTCCATCCACAAAACACGATGCACTGTCAACTGACACACAGCGATCAGAGGGCAAGTGGCTACCAAGTCGATGCCCTGGGTGACGGCGTACGGTACGTAGCACCACTGTGACGTCATCGAATGCTTAGAGAGGACACATCCCCTGAAAGGTCACAAATACCCGGATGGATTACCTGGGCTGTGAGTAATGCACTTTTTTACTTTTTTCTAGTTTTACATTTACCCCAAAGACAGATGTAGGAAATAAAAACGTGGATGTAGCTATCTCGAGATTTGAGATTAAACCTTTCACTTTCCCAATCTGTAGTCCCCTTTCCCACTTAAGACAAACAGTTGGAGGTGTTTGAGATGTCTTGAAGGATCACAGCCTACATCACGAAAATACAAGACACACAGGGAGGTTACTCAAAAGATGG